TATGTGTACTCTATTTTTATTCCAATAGTGCATAAGTATGAGCATACACTTATTTGACACTTCATATTGTCAGTGTAGAAAGAAAAAAAGGTAAAGAAATTGCGAAATTTACAATCAGCATTCACTTTCACTTACATCAATTTCTTGGATCATGTCATTTATTTTGCTTGCTCCGTCTTTCATTTTGATCACTTTTAACCTCTCTTCCAGCATCAGAGCTCTTCTTGTCTTAGCTGCTTGACATCCAAAGGTCCTTTTGTAGCCATTTTAGCATTATAACGTCCACGCTCGTCTGAATCTAACAATAACAAATACTTCTGGACCCGGTGGCTTTTCTTTCCACCATCTCACTGTCTCTACCTAACCCTAACCCAAGACAGCGTTGCTCAGCTGATGTTCATGCAATGAACTTTTAAACCAGCCACACCTCGTAGTTCTAAATGGCCACAGTTAGCTTTCGAAGGCTAAAAACGTTACGCTAACTGGAGCGCTAATTAGCGTAATGTTTTTAGCCTTCGAGAGCTAACTAGGCCGTCTAGGACTACGAAGCGTCCCGTGGCTGTTTTTAGCATGATAACAAGTAAAGCATTCGAGGAAACGATCGTTTATTTGAATGTCCGTCGAGCCGCGGGACGCTTCATAGTCTTCGACGGCCTAGTTAGCTCTCGAAGGCTAAAAACATTACGCTAATTAGCGCTCCAGTTAGCGTAACGTTTTTAGCCTTCGAAAGCTAACTGTGGCCATTTAGAACTACGAGGTGTGGTTGGTTTAAAAGTTCATTGCATGAACATCAGCTGAGCAACGCTGTCTTGGGTTAGGGTTAGGTAGAGACAGTGAGATGGTGGAAAGAAAAGCCACCGGGTCCAGAAGTATTTGTTATTGTTAGATTCAGACGAGCGTGGACGTTATAATGCTAAAATGGCTACAAAAGGACCTTTGGATGTCAAGCAGCTAAGACAAGAAGAGCTCTGATGCTGGAAGAGAGGTTAAAAGTGATCAAAATGAAAGACGGAGCAAGCAAAATAAATGACATGATCCAAGAAATTGATGTAAGTGAAAGTGAATGCTGATTGTAAATTTCGCAATTTCTTTACCTTTTTTTCTTTCTACACTGACAATATGAAGTGTCAAATAAGTGTATGCTCATACTTATGCACTATTGGAATAAAAATAGAGTACACATACGTTTGTGTGCGTGTACACATACGTTTGTGTGGGTGGGTGTGTGTGTGCTTACATCTGAGACCAAATTTGCTACAGTGAAAAACCCCCTGTTGTGAAAAATTTCTTGCCGCAAACACGATTTCGTTGTAGAGGAGTTTCACTGTACTGTATTGCAAGACCAAAAAAATCAGGAAAAACACAGTTTGTACCTCAAAAATCTTCGAGGGATTTATAACCCAATGCATCAGTTTACTTCCTTGGCACAAAGATACCACAAGATGGTACTTTTATATTACAGTATACGAGACTTTGGTGTGAGCAAAAAAAAAAAAAAAAAAAAAAAAAAGCTAATAAACGTGTTTTTCAGCAACTTCCCCCCCACCCCCGCAGAAAAAAAAAAGTAAAAAGGTGCCTGCTATAAATCTAATTTTGAAGAACACTATATTTATAGCCCACATTCTTTCTACTGTCACTGAGGTCTGCGCTCCACCGTGGGCTTTTCTATTATTGAACATGTATGGATAATTCTCCGTCTTTTCAAACAAGTCAAGTGTTTGAATGTATTGGTGTGAGTGTGGCCTTCCAAAGGAAAAGCGACAACGAGTTCCTGTCGCTGTAACATGAACTGTGTTTATCTAATCTAAGAAAATGAAAACAACATATAAAGTGCAGTTAAAAGTCATGAAATATGCATTGGTGCTAACGAGTGGCACCCACACGGGGATCAAGCTCATTATGTTTCCTCTGACCTTAGCGCACCTTTGTTACGACAACATTGCAAGTTCCACATACAATGCCAGTGTGAGCAGATCCACATATAGCGGAGCAGAATCGACACATTCCATGTCTTGCTGTTGTGACGGTATAAACAGTAGTTTCTTTTCCCAGTGGATCAAAAGATAGGGGACCTTCTCATGAAATGTAATTGCTTCTCAATCAGTACGTAAGGAATTGCCGAGATATAATAATTGCTAATGTGCTCATCTCAATCTGAATTCTAACACATGCGCTTTACTTAATTTTTTTCCCCCTCATAGGATCAAATAAATTCAACTGTCTGATTATCTTTCTCGCTTGGTATATTTTTGCTTGCTTTTGTTTAAAAAAAAAAAAAGGCACCTTCTATTTTAAGGGCATTCTTGATTCCTGACATTTCTGGGGTTTCAAGCAAGATGTTGCGTAAGAATACATTGTCACATGACACAAGACACACTGCCCTACTTTATCTACTGGTCTAGAGATGTTTTTTTACACACATTTTCTTTAATGATGGCTTTACTACTATGTTAGCGGAGATTAGTGGAAGGTCCGTTCTGACTTGTGTACAAATTCAGTTTCTGCCACTACCTTTAGGAATTCCGGCATAAACCAGGGACACCATGTATGGGAATTTGACCAAATTTCAAGAGTCAATTTTTGTGTGGATCAATTAATGATACATTCATTCAAAATTACGTATTTAATGAGATGGTACAATTGCCCTCTGAATGTTCTATGTTCTTGTCCGTGTCGTATTGACAGTAGTAATGCTGCCAGAGGGTGTGAACGGTGTGGATAATCCCTAGCTCGACTTCCCACATGAGCTAATGTAACGTACTTCTGTAGACAGCAAACTATTTGATTTAATCTATCGTGCCTCTGGCTGCAGCCAAGTAGCACACTTCATTTTGCCTCATTGCTTCGAGACGCGATTAGTCCAGTCACCTGATTTCTTCACGAATGAATCGACCACCGTCCAATTTTTCCTTTTTTTTTTTCACTGGAAATACAGCTTGCTTATAGTTCATGGGTTCAATCTACACAAAGGGGTTCATATGTTGGATGGGCGCATTTTGTGGACTGATTTCCCAATGATCCTGTTTTATTTCAGACACTGTGCACCCTTTACATAAAGTTCGGCAGTGACTCACCTCACAGGTCAATGCTTCGCCCTTCACATTGCTATTGATCCCCGCTCATAATGAATTCTTTTCAACTACATGAGCTAGAAGAGCAGACTCAGATGGTATGTCACTCCCACACACACGGACGCACACAAACACAGACACAGACACACACCTGCTCTCTCGGGTTCTTTTATGGACATTTTTGCATTAAAGTCAGACGGTTTAGTTGCGTGGAGATGACAATCTATATTGGGATTTTGAAACCAAAACCAAACAATCTGATTATCGCACATCAACAGAATACATGGAGTATTGAAAAAGCCAACAATGATGTCACAATGCAACTTGCAACACAGTTTAAGAATGTTGGTAAGATTCTATAGTGAGGCAAATAGAGAGAGCTAAACTCACCGCACAGACCACATCGCCTCATATTGGCTCCTGGAGGGAAGCGAGTAGAACCACAGGCATGCTCATTATGTGTTTTGCGTGTGCATGTGTGTGTGTGTGTGTGTGTGTGTGTGTGTGTGAGTGTATGTGAGTGTGTTTGGAGACCTAATGAATCCGTGTGTGGGGAAGAAACTAGACAGAGGGAGCGCCACACTCTCTCTCTTTGTCTCCTCCCATTGCTCCGCTTCTCTCTATCTCACAGTAATTTGCATTCAGAGTGATTCCCATTACTGCTCCCATAAAACAACCATTTGCGGCAGTGAAGCACCAACAAAGTCTTGCCTTTTGTGGGTGGGTTGCTTTAAGGTCACCCTCCGAAGAACAGCACTATTTACACTATAATGATGTCAAAATAATCAATCGGGCATTCCAGTACTTCTTTCTTACTTTTTGAACTTGTCAGCCTGCTTTCAGAGAGGTACGTGCTGCCATCAACTGCTGAAAAAGCATCACCTGAATTGTACGTCGGCACCGAATTTTCGACATTGAAGTTCTCAAATGTTGAGCAACATTTGTCAGCTGTGCTACCAAGCTGGTATGTGTGCTTTTGGTTTTCCCGATATTGTAAAGGATCTTGGAATATTGGCCAGGTTTTTCCGGACCTGAATAATTGAATCGGCTCTTGCGTTCGTGATCTGCCTGCCAAGTTCTTCGTCCAGTCGCTGCCATTTTCATTCATTCTGGTTCCTCCATATATATTTGGCGACACTTTCTTTGACAGTATGAAAAATTAAACAAAGTTAAGCCAAAAGCAAAATCAATATTTAAATAGTAAATAAATTAAACATCAACTACTATTTCGATCGACATTTTCTATGCAAACCTTTCTGGTTTGCAAAACGTCTCAAGGGCCTGAACCCCTCACTTTCAACAATGCTGAGGGGTTGGCAGTCCTTAATAATTAAATTCTGAACTGACGCATGCTTTCTCGTAGCTTGATGGTCAAAAATGAAATAATAATATCTGTATTTATTATGAATGAAGTGATTCGACAAAAAAAAACTTCTAGGTGTCTTTCTGACCTCCTCACTTTCATGCCTCGAGCATTGCAGAGGTGTCTTTCTTTATGTAGGACAGTTCAGGCAAACAAATGTGACATTTAACCCCTTAAGCTGAGGGCCTGCTGAAAATAATATGAATAGTTCAAACTATGAGTCGTTTTTGAAATGTATTTGAATTCTGAAAGATAAAAGTGGAACATTTGAGGAACAGCATGAAACAAGGAAATAAAAACAAATGTATTATTTATTCGGGCAGGGCGGAGGTCGACTGGTGAGCGCGTTTGCATCACAGTGGCTTTACTGTGTGGAGTTTGCATGCTTGGGTTTTCTCCGGGTACTCCGGTTTCCTCCCTCATTCCAAAAACATGCATGGCAGGTTAATGGAACACTCAAAACGGTCTCTAGGTGTGAGTGTGAACGCGGATTGTTGTTTGTCTATGTGTGCCTGCGATTGGCTGGGAACTGGTTCAGGGTGTTCCCCCGCCTACTGCCCGAAGACAGCAGGGATAGGCTCCAGCACGCGCGTGACCCTCGTGAGGACAAGCGGATTAGAAGATGGATGGATGGATTATTTATTCATCAAAATGGTCCTCCACGGCGGCACCTTTTCTTTTTCCTCAGGCCACCATGACAGGGGCTTGAAGGGTAGGATTGTGCTTCGAAATATTATTCTTTTGTAAGAGACGCATCCCCATTGACAGCTAGCTGATGCACTTCCTTGTAAACACATTTGGTGCCTCAATGAGAGGCGAAACTGCAGTTATGCCATCTTCCTAAAGCAATACGCACACTGGCACGGAGTTTATAAAGTTATCAGTTTGAGGTGTGATTTCTGGGAATTTTCAGCTTTTGTTTCTGATTAGGTGGCACGGTGCTCCACTATTAGCACATGCACCTCTGCACTGTGCGGTGGATGGTTTGATAGAGTCCTTCCAGTGTGGAGTTTGCATGTTCTCCCTGTGCCTGCGTGGGTTTTCTCCGGGTACTCCGGTTTCCTCTCACATTCCAAAAAACATGCATAGTAGGTTGACTGGACACTAGTCTAAATTATCCCTATGTGTGATTGTGAGTGCGAATGGTTGTTCGTCTATGTGTGCCCTGCGATTGGCTGGCAACTAGTTGAGGGTGTACCCCGCCTACTGCCTGATGATAGGCGCCAGCACGCCTGCGACCCTCGTGAGGAGAAAGTGGTTCAGAAAATGGATTGATGTCTGAGATTAGTTGTTTTTCTTTTTTTTGGGGGGTGGGGGGCGGTTGAGGGCGGGGGATTCTTTCAGGTTATCTGAAACAAAAGGGTGAGTTGAAGTTAGCATGTCACAGTTGCAGGTTTGGTCTTTGAATCTCGACTCCAGCCTTCCTGTGCGGAGTTTGCATGTTCCCCCCATGCTTGTGTTTTCTGTTGGTACTCAAGCTTCCTGGAGCTTGTCTCTATGTTCCCTGCGATGAGCTGTCAACTAAATCAGGATTGCACCCTGCCTGTCAGCTAGGATACACGCCTGCTTACTTAATAAGGGTAAGTCTTATAGAAAATGGATTGATGGAAGAAATGACAAAAAGAACCGTATGTATGTGAACTGACTCTATGTCCCACTTTGTATTTTTGCATAGTCACGAAATGAGAGAATATCTGCGCATTCCTCTTTTATGCTACAAAATTCATGCTGAAATAGACAAACTGTTGTATGCATACATGTCCTGGTTTCTCCTGTGAGAATTTTAATGGCCATCATCACTTTTGCCACCTCTGGCCTTTTCCTTTGTCTGAGTCATGTTCCACCTATGGCTATATGATTGAGTAATTATCAACATCACAGTCCAATCCACTGTGCCTTCACAAGTTATGTCTCATTTTTGTTTCCATAACAACAGATTTCCATTTTAGTCTACTTTTAGTAGAGTGTCAGTATTGCTGAAAGATACCACTCTGCCACTCTCCATCAAAACCTGTCATAACCCACTAGTTCGATGTTTATCTCAGCATATCAACAAGTATTTCGTCCAAAAGCAGGAATTGCCTTCTATATTGTTGTGAAGAAGATGTATGGATATTGTGGCTTTGTCACCACTACATTACGATGATGAGCTATTACCATAAAGCCCAGTTTGTATTAAAAGGTGGGCTCTATGGTAATAAAGATGCCCTTACACGATTCTTATCTCATGACTTATCTATGGTACCTTGACTTATGAGTTTATTTCATTCCGTGACCAAGCTCGTGACTCAGTTCAAGCAGTATCAATAAATGCCATTAATCAGCTCCAGACCCCCAGGAAACACTCCATTATTTGTGACATGTATTTTGTTTAAAAATAATAATACAAATGATAAGATTCATAATAACAATAAGTCATAGAATGTAGGAAAAATAACCTGATTTTGTGAAGTCATTACTGCACGTTGGGACAGTCGTTGCAACAACTTTAGTGTGGTAGGTCTGCTTTTAAGGGGCTGGGCCTAAGAGCAGACATTATGGGCTGCTCTAAAGTGACGCGCTAAACAGGAGATCGAAATCCCGCAGCGTCTTTTTATGAGAGTTTATGAGACTGTAAATACACCAGTTGAAACGATCTTTGTGGTCTATTTCTTATTTTTCTCAACTGTTGAAGAGAAAACACTAACGCTGCATACATTATCTTCCACACCAGCAGCCAGGCAGATTCTCAAAGTCTTCATCTTTTAAAGTGGGCTGCCTCCCGGAAAGAGTGCAGCTGAGGAGAAAGCGGGGTGAGCCGAGGCTGCCATTTAAACACATGCGTCACAATATGTTCTGTCAGTTTGGACTTGAAACACTTCACTTCAAGCTTCGGAGATGATGACCAAAGAGAAGAGGTGCGTGTGCTGCACTCATAGGAAGAAAGACATTCGCATTCATGACTGTAGGTGTGCAAAATCACATCACATCAAAAGAGGCAGCACAGACCCTATTCTACAGACACGATGACATTTTTCATCATGGTGAACGACTCTGAGCCCTATTTTTGCAGAATCTATCATACAGGTTTGTCAATCTAAAATGAGCACGTTGGAAATAATGCAAATGCAAAACTCGGTAGGACTCCACCTTGTAACCACTTCCTCTTTAGGGCCTGAAGGCAGGAAGAGAAGAGAAAAGAGGAAGAGGTAAAGAGAGGAGGAGGGCTGACTACTTTCAGTTTGGATAAAAAAAATTAAAAAAAAAGTGAAACGTTGAACAGGCACCTTAAAAACATCCAAAGTGAGCACAACAAGAAAACATGGCTCCTTGGACAACAACCACCATGGAGCGATATGGTGTAGGTGAGTCAATTTGTGGCCATTCGATCATACATATGTCTGTGCGCTTGCAGACATGATTATTGCTACAATGCGTATGTTCTTAAGTGTGATGACGTACTTGAGATGCAAAGACTAAGAAGAAGACAAAGGCACCACTGGATTACTGCTAAGCAGGATGTGAGCAGGTGCGAAAGAGCCTCTGGGTGAACGATCAAAGAGCACCGCAACAAAATGTCATATTGCGACCGATTGCATGAATTACCAGTTGAGGAAATGCTGGAGCAAGTGACTGTTAGAGCAAAGGTTCACTCTCCTTTTTCAGAAAAAAAAGCATTGATTGAGTGACTTTTTATTGTACCTTCTGTGTGGACTATAATCCACGTTCATGTCTTTTTGCTGTATTCAAGGGCAATTTATCTCTTTCGCCTGCATTGACTTTCATGCTCACATAGGTAAATGTCAGGAAGTAGAAGAAGGAAGGAAGTTTAATAGCCGAACGCTGTAACCGTTGCTGTTTGATATGTAAAGAGAATATCAACAGTAGGTAACAACTGTGTAAACCCATTAAAACCTCATCCATCCGAGACTGTCATAAGATCTTCCAATTTTAATAGGACTTGCGCAAAGGTCAGTGCTTCCTTTGCAACAGATGGCTTTATGTAACCCATTTTGTCCAAAACATTTTCCATTATTCAACTTCCCACACAATCAACTAAAGGTTGAATGCGCATATACTTTGAGCTGAGCTTTTGACTTTTCATCTCAAAGATCTACTTTACAAGCTGTGCAAGAGCTTCCTATTCACCCATGCGCATCCTCTGCAAGATTCCTTCCTGGCGCA